GCCGGAGTTAAACCACGACACCGAGCTGAAGCTGGAAGTGGTTAAGGATGCATTTTAACTGATCTTAGTAAGATGATACATTTCTTCTTTAGTTTTAAAACAAAAAATTGGTAAGTCCTAAAAGGTTTAACTTATATCTGAATTTTAACATTTAAGATGTTCACACAAAACACTCAAGATACAAAACATGCTTTGATGTGCAGGTGTAAGATATGTCACTGTGCCCCAATTTTATTTATTAATTCACAAATGTCACACAGACATTTTCTTCATGTTTATTAGACTGAACCAGTGTTGATTTCCAAGGTAACTATCCTCTCTGAGAAGTAATGAAATAGGTTTTTAAAAATATTCTTCCCATCTCTGAGAACACTGGCTTTTGCCTCCTGCTCAGACCAGCCAGAACTAGATCCAGAGACAGACCTTGGTGTTCCAACAGTCTAACACCTAACTTGGAGGCACTTGACTGATGGAGTGGAACCTACAGCCCCAAGCTATTGCTTTGTCTTTTTTACACTCGATAAAGAGGAGCCAAGTGCCTCCAAAAGAGATCCACAATTGCCAGCACAATGACTTGGGCTGCCACAGCTATCCAAAATCCACACAGTGAGTTATGCTTAACTTTGGATTGCAGAGGCCTCCGTATGCGATACGGCTGCATACTCTGGAACAGGTTCCTTGCGCCAGGCACCTTCAGTTGCTCATGACAGAGAGCAGAGGTCACTTTTATACAAATACCACAATGCTAGTGAAGGTTACTCTTGCCCAGAAGCCTGGCGTTCAAGCCAAGCAGATTTCATCACCTCTGGAAGAACACCTTCATCACCTGACTACGGGTTACTGTGGAGCAGAAACAGTCTCCGTCCTCGTCACGAAAGCTGTATGTTTTTACACAACTGCCTCAGTGATGTTGGACAGGACAAAAAAATCATTTAGCTTGACAGGCTAAACTTTTAACTTCATCCAGTTGCAAGTGTTTCCTCCTTGCCTCGACTTCAGACCATCCTCAGCTGTTGCATTTTGGACAGAGATCTCTCCTGTTTCTGTACTCGTGCTGTTACTGCTACCTCAGAAAACAGCAGGCAGAGACTGCTTGCCTCAAGTTCCTGAAGCTGTTAAGTGAGAAAGAACTCGTAGGTTTCCCAATAGTATCAAAATACCTGCAACATCTGGTATTTTCAGAAATTAAACTTGAGGTTCTTAAGGAATTTTGTAATGGAAAACTTGGGTGGTTCATGCAGGAAGGACAGAGGACACACTATTTGTGTTCTCAGGCTTAGACATGTTTCACTAGCACCTCACCTCGGAAGCTAAGTTCTGCTGTCAATGTGTGCCTCGGTTTCTCATTCCTTTCTAAAAGCAGAGCTAAATATCATAAAAATGGTTAGATCTGTTACTGAAGCTATTACTACAGAAAATACCATGCACCTATCATATGCAGAAAACTAAGCCACCTTAAATAAAAATGGAGTCACAATTTAGGGAAGCCAGTATGCACAGAAAAGTTTCGTACATCTCAATTATGGTAAAATTCAGGGTGCAAAGCTAAGTGAACACTGAACTAAGAAATGTTACGTCGCAGTCTTAGTTTACTTGGTAGAATTTCTTCGCAGTTTTCCCACACAGCGGAGATTTGTTACTAATTCAGTGAAGTTGAACTTCCTGCACTGAACAAATCAGGTTGTTTACGTAAATCTGCATTTCGAAAGGATAAAATACAACATGTCCAAAGAGATGACGTAAGTAGCTCATTAATAGAGTGATGTATAAGCCAGGATTCCATTTTTTTCTCTTATAGGCTAAATTTCCCAAACAACAGAAATAGCATGAACAATACAGAAGCATAAGTAATTATCCCAAACTTCCCAAGTTTTTGTGAAGTATTACAAAATAATATTAAAACTGCACAGTAATTGGTATATCCAATGCAAATACAATGATCCCATTAATTTCTTAATGACTACAATTTTTTCCCAATAAATTTAAGACCATTAAGTTAAAAAAAAAATTCGAAGAGGAATAGAGGAATTAAGTACTAGCCTTTACCATTAAAATGTGGAAATAAATTGCACACTAAATGGTTTAGCTTCTTGGCTGTGTAAGTTAAGGGGCCTACCCAGTTTTTTGGGTGTACAACATAAGCCATCTAACAACTTTGCACAGTCTGGTTGGACCAAGAAACTTTACTATCTGTTTACCCCAGGCTAAACAGTGGAAAGCAGAACACAGGGGAGACTTCTGAAGAAGCTTACACCCCATGTGCATTATTCCTGGCTTTATCCCAGTGTGGTTAATCTTCCTCACACCTATGAACACTAAGCATGAAGCTCTTTAAAGAAAGTGAAATTGATTAAAAAAACCCCAAAAAACCCAAATGCAGCAAAAATTCATACTAACGCATAAAAGGACTGCTGAAAATTCAAAAGGCTGAGGTTATAGCTGTACTGTTTGTGGTATCATAATTCTGTGAGAAAACACATGCCTAAACAGCCGAATAAGTTTACAAAGTTCTTCTGATACATCATTATCATTAGAAATATTAAGTTGTGGTACTGGCTTTTCTGCTATCTTTTTATCAAATATAAACAATCATCAAGTGTAAGTGTTTAGACTTCAGTATTGTACCTGGCACGAGTTAGGTGTAACTTCCTCAACCTACAACTTCCTCACGGCGGGGTGGGGCAGGGGGGACAGCAGAGGGGGAGGTGCTGATCTCTCCCCCCTCTAGTGACTGGCAAGAGGACAGGAGGGAAAGGAATGAAGCTGTGTCAGGGGAAGTTGAGGTTGGACATTAGGAAAGGTTCTTCACCGTGAGGGTGGTCGGTCCCTTGCGCAGGCTCCCCAGGGCAGTGGTGACGGCACCGAGGCTGCCACGGCCGAAGGAGA